GGAAATGACCCCTGCTCCAAATACTAATCAGGGGTGACCCTGCTTTGCTTCCGAGATATGGGCCCGTTCCGCACTTGGACCTCACCCCGGGTTTTCTCTGTGTTGGACTCATGACCATTTTACCCTGCAGTTATCTCTGTTTATCTGTACTTTTTGGCCCTAATTTTGTCCCGCTCCAATTTGCCTGCCCTGGGTTATAAATTCTGCATTGCGAACAGTAAACCTGGGTTTAAAGTCCTAGGTATGGTGGGAAAGGGGCAGGGAGGATTGAACCCGAGTGAAAAATTCTAAACTGAAATCTAGGGTCACTCTGGATCGAGGGAAAGCAAAACAGGATCCATATACCCCAGCTGCATGGTATTTTGTAAGGAAACAAACAAGGTCTTCCATGCAGCCACCAGAGAAGCATCTTGAAAACTAATCCTAAACATGCTTACTTGTATGTAAGCAATGCTCCCTCTAAGCCTTGTGAACGCAAATTCTACTTTGTGAGCTGCTGGCATTAAAGTCGTGAGCGAGCAATTTGGCTACTGCATAAATTAGTTTGCTCTGGAGCCATCCTTTCTAAACTAAGACAGAAATGTTACACACCCCACCCCCAACGGTCCCGGCCACCACCGCCGGCCTTGCAGCTCCACTACCGAGCCCCATGAGGGGCCCGGCGGAGGACCTGCAAGGCCGGCGGGAGTGCAAGGAAGCCCCGCGAAGGCCCTCCCTGGCCCCAGGCAGGGGTGGGGAGAGGCAGGGAGGAAGCAACTTACCCTCCCTCTTCTCCTGCCTCCTCCTGGCTGAATGAGGGCCGGAAGCGGGGCGGCCGGAAGCAGGGGGCAGGGCTTCGTCATGTGCCCCGCCCCCCGTACCTGACCTGGGGGGGCTGTGATCCCCCGCGATCCCCCCTGAAATGACCTCTGCGGGTAAAAGACAGCGCTGAACCAGGATGAAAAGTCTAGCGCAAAAAGGACCACGATGAGACCAAGCTAACCTGGGCCATCTGGGGCAGGGCGCAAATGTAATACACAGATTATTTAGGGGAGTTTGCAGCCTTACCTCCGCATGGCCGTTGCTAGAAGCAATAGAAAGCGGCGTCCTTCCCAAAGAATCCTGAACGTCCACCTTGGCCCCCTTCGCAAGCAAGCGGTGCAGAGCCTCGATCTGTCCTGCCTCGGCTGTCACATGTAACGGCGTGACTCCCTCCTTGCTACCGAGATCCGGACCTATGCCCTGGGACATCAGAAAGTCCATGATGTGCAGCTGGTTGTTGGCGGCTGCCCAGTGTAAGGCCGCCCACCGGTTGGCGTCCGCGGCAGCAGGATCCGCCCCTTGCCGCAGGAGCAACTGGACCATCAGGAGGTGTCCGTTGGCAGCCGCGCAGTGCAGCGGGGTCAGGTATCCTTCTGTCGCCGCAGACACTGGCGTGCCCCGAGCGAGGAGGAACTCCGCCACTTGGGTGTGGCCGCTCCAAGCGGCATGGTGCAGCGGCGTGTAGGAGGCCCTGTTGTGGGCATGGACCACGGCGCCACGCTGGACGAGGAATCTGACCAGAGCGGCATAGCCGTTCAAGGAAGCCAAGTGCAACGGAGTCCACCCGTTCTCGTCTCTGGAAAGGGTTGGGAAAACAGGACTCAAAGGTGTTTCCACACGAGGCTAAAAGTGTGCCGATTCCACGGTATTCCCTCTGAAGCTCACAGGGGGGGCGGGGCACATGATGAAGCCCCGCCCCCTGCTTCCGCCCGCCTCGCTTCCAGCCCTCATTCAGCCAGGAGGAGGCAGGAGAAGAGGGAGGGTAAGTTGCTTCCTCCCCGCCTCTCCCCACCCCTGCCTGCCTGGGGCCAGGGAGGGCCTTGGCAGGGCTTCCTCGCACTCCCACTGGCCTTGCAGGTCCACCGCCGGGCCCCTGATGTCAGGGGGTGTGGCATATGCTAATGAGTTATGCTAATGAGTTCCCCTAGCTCTTTTTCTACGAAATGACCCCTGCGGCTTACCATCTCCTTCCCCTTCCCCTCCTCACAACAGACACCCCGTGAGCCCGGTTCTCTCTAAGCTGAGTTAGTGTGAGCTAGCTCACAGTTTTTTAGCCTCCAGCTCACGCCTTCTTGTCTCAGCGCAGGAAGGATGGGCTCCAGAGCAAACTAATTTATGCAATAGCCAGATTGTTCACACACAACTTTAATGCCAGTCGCTCGCAAAGTAGAATTTTTGTTTACAAGACTCCACAGCTTAGAGGGAGCATTGCCCGTGAGGTAGGTGGGTTTGAGAGAGCTCTCTCAGTAACTGCCCTTGGGAGAACAGCTCTGAGAGAACTTAGGACTGGCCCAAGGTCACACCAGCAGCTGCATGTGGAGGAGTGGGGAATCAAACCCGGTTCTCCCACATTAGAGTCCACGCTCTTAACCACGACACCAAACCGGCCCTCCAGGGCGTTATACCTTGCTGAGGTCCCTCCCCTACCCAAACCCTGCCCTCCCCAGTCTCCACCCTGAAAATCTCCAGGACTTTTCCAACTTGGAGTTGAGAACCCTAGCTGGCAACACGACACCAATCCCAGCCCTGCCCTGGCTTCTTGCGAGCCGAGATGGTACAACCACACCTGCCTGCCTCCTCCGCACCTGCACTCGGTCCCGGCGCCTTGTTGTAAGAGCTGCTTCACCAGGCGGACGTTGCCGTTCTCAGTTGCGTGATGGAGCTCCTCCCAACTCTCCTGTGCAGGGACGAGAACCAAAGTCTTCTCCTTGGGGTTAACTCTGCAGGCATTCATGGCCGGACGTCCGTCTAGCATCCTCTCCTCGCCCAGCACCATCCACTTCCTCTGGAGCTCAGCCTCGACTCTCGTACCTCCAGAGAAGAAAGGACAAGAAGGCCTTTAACCCCCTTCCTGAGGACCAGGAGCAAAGCTGGTTGTATGGGCTCAACGAGAGGCAGAGATTAGGGATCAGTTCCCCTGGAGAAAATGGCTACCTGTGGAGGCCCCTACCCTTACTAAACCCCGCCCTCCCAAGGCTCCACCCCCCAAATATTCAGGAATTTCTCAACCTATAGCTGGCAACCCTAGCATCATGGGACTTTCCAGACATCCTTTGGGACTCACGAATCCAATAGCTTGATCTCTCGATAACAACTCTTTAGATCGGGGTGTCAAACGTGCGGCCCAGGGGCCGGATCAGGCCCCCGGAGGGCTTCCATCAGGCCCGCAGTGGAACTGGCCATCTCCTGCTTCCAGTTCTGCTGCTGCTGCTGCATCATGGCTTGCTTTGCCAGACTCTCTTAGTCACTCAGCCATTTCATGTCTCGACTCAGAACTCTGAGCCTGAGATCTCTGTGGTGAATGTCAATAAATCAAAAGTAGGTTTGCAGCTTACAGAGCTAATGTTTTAAGCATGTTTTTATTTTAAGTAAAAAAAATATCCGCTACCTGGGATTACATTTTATGACACACATGGCCCGGCCCAACAAGGTCTCATTTATGTTAGATCTGGCCCTCATACGAAATGAGTTAGACACCCCTGCTTTAGATTCTACAGGAGGAAACCGTTTTCTCATGGCTGGAACCACCTACCGGAACACCTGCATTTCCACCACCCTTTTCACTTCCTTCAAATCCTTCCTCGAAATACCTCCTTCTCTGTAAAGCCTTCGGCAGGACCCCTTTGGCCTCCCTCTCACTACACTGAAGTCAAAGCAAGCATAAGGGGGGATGAACGCGGAATTTCTGCTTGCCTCTCTTGGCTCAGTCTCTTGCTTTCAATTTTAAATGGAAATGTATGTTGGAAAAAACAAATTAGATGGGGATTTTAAATTGGAAGCTCCTTGCAGGCGGGGACCTGTCTCCTTGTCATCGGCAGATCCCCGGGGCACGTGGGCGGCTCTGCTCAACTCAACAAGCGATTCTTACCGGTCATGTCTGTCCCTCTGGCGATTTGAGCTTTTCTGAAGTTAATGGAAGGTAGCGGCTGAACGGTGCTGTCGGTTCCCCAAATGCACTTTGCAAATGAGAGCTGACTCCCAAACAGGACTCAGTTCAGGGACCCCCGTGTCTCCTCTACCCTCCAGGTCCTTTCGCCGGTCACTCATAACGCTCTCCGTGTGGACCACATGCGTCTCTGTGGAGTAGCAAGGCAAAGTTGTTAGCAAACAGAAAGCTTCAGTGAGTACAGAAAAGATATTTCCGTACCTCCGGGTGGTGAAAAGCGACCAACTCTTCTAAAGAGGAGTTCAGCCAGCAGTCCCAGTTTGACCGTCACTAAAGGTCCAGGAATGTTCAGATGGAAAGCAAGCAATCTCTTCTCTTTCAGTGCGTTCAACTCGGCTGTGCAAAGAGCTGTTTACTTAATGACTAAAAGGCTTCTCCAAGGAGGGAGGAGTTCTTGGCCGCTAATGGTTAATAGGATCTGGGCCTGTCTGTGTTCCCCCCCCCCTTCCCTGCACACACGGAAGTCCTTGCCAGTCTGCATTCCACCAATGGCCTCTAGATGCCGAGATCTAGGCAACGTTTCTGCCTGGGGTGCGATTTAGCCGGAAGGGAAACACTTTTCAGTCTTGGGAATGAAAGCGATTTAATTAAGACAGCCCACACAAGACCATTTTGCTGATGTTTGTCTCCAGGACATGGGATTCTGAGATAGACTGCCTCTGAACATGGAGGTTCTGTTTTGCTGCTGTGGCTATAGATGTCAGTCTCCAGGTGGGACCTGGGGATCCCCCAGAACTAGAGATCATCCGATGACAAAGATCAGTTCCCCTGGATAAAATGGATGCTTCGGAGGGTGGACTCTATGGCATTGTACCCCACTGAGGTCCCTGTCCTCCCCAGGTTCCATCCCCAAATCTCCAGGAGTTTCCCAACCTGGATCTGGCAACTCAACCCTCCCCCATTCCCTGTTGGTGGCCAGGGCGGCGGGGGGGCAGACTTGGCAACTCTAGCTGTGGCTGTCTGGTTTCAGGGACCTGTCCTTGACGTAAAAATTGGCTCCCAGTCTTAATTTTGTCTTTCAAGGAGGCTTTTTAGAAAGGTTTGTTGATGTACGTAGAAGTACAGTAACGCTTCTTTCATCAGGTGCCTTGAGGTTGAGCTATTCGATGGGCTGATTTATTTATTTAGCATGCATATACGAACCCATGTGCCTGGACATAATGTACCAATGCATTGCTTGTTTCCTGATTCCCTTCTGTAAACAGCCTGTTTAGGAGAAGATGACTTGGAATCCATGCTCCCGTCTAAGCTGTGGAGTCCTGTGAGCAAAAACCCTACTTCGTGAGCGACTGGCATTAAAGTTGTAAGCAAGCGATTTGGCTACCGCATAAATTAGTTTGGTCTGGAGCCCTATCCTTCCTGAGCGAAGACAAAAATGTGTGAGCCAGGGGCTAAAAAACTGTGAGCTGGCTCACACTGACTCAGCTTAGAGGGAACACTGCTTGGTATTGCAGCTGTCGTTTGACAAATGCATCAAACCCAAGCAATGATTAAAAACCCTGAAGTGGGCTTGAAGCTCAACATCAAAAAAACTAAGATCATGGCATCCGGCCCCATCACTCCTTGGCAAATAGAAGGGGAAGTCGTGGAAGTGGTGACAGACTTCACGTTCCTGGGATCCCAGATCACCGTAGACTGTGACAGCAGCCATGAAATTAAAAGACGCCTGCTCCTTGGGAGGAAAGCGATGGCGAACCTAAACAGCATGATAAAAAGCAGAGACATCACCCTGCCAACAAAAGTCCGCATGGTCAAAGCAATGGTATTCCCAGTAGTCATGTATGGCTGCGAGAGTTGGACTATAAGGAAGGCCGAGCGCCGAAGAATAGATTCTTTTGAACTATGGTGCTGGAGAAGACTCTTGAGAGTCCCTTGGACTGCAAGGAGATCAAATCAGTCAATCCTAAAAGAAATCAACCCTGATTGTTCCCTGGAAGGCCAGATAATGAAACTGAAGCTCAAATACTTTGGCCACCAAATGAGAAGGGAGCACTCACTGGAGAAGACCCTGATGCTGGGAAAGATTGAAGGTCAAAGAAGACGGGGACGGCAAAGGATGAGATGGTTGGACAGTGTCATCGTCGCAACGAACATGAAATTGAGCCAACTTCAGAGGACAGCGGAAGACAGGAAGGCCTGGCGTGAGCTGGTCCATGGGGTCGCGAAGAGTCGGACTCGACTGTGCGACTGAACAACAACAACAAAAATAATAATAATGATGGTCGGGGGTTGGCCCTGGGACCTGCCCAAATATGCCAACCCCTGACTCCAGCCTGTTGGAGTGAGCAACTCACCATGCCTGGACATCGGGGGGCGCTACATCACTCTAAGTGGGTATAGGTATTATATCTTTGAGTGTGGTGCCTCTCTTTGTCTGAACCTGGGAGCTGCCCTCTGACCCCTCTTCTCCCTTTGTCCTCCCCCTCTCCGTACATGGCCTTCCATGGAGGCACATGTCTCTGCAGGCCTCTCCTGTAGAGACGCTGCCCTCATCCTCCCACCCACATGATGCCGGACAAGCTGGCCATTTGTGACAGGGAAAGCCCTCTGTAGATCAGGCTTCTCTCTGTCTTTTTTGGACTGCAACCTGAATGCGAATGGGATCGACTTGAGTAAATATAAATTTTCTTTTTTTTTTTTTTGCAATATATTTCTTGGGAGATTTATTTACTGCACTCAGTATCACTCTTCTAGGACTGGGCAAAACTGCACAGATTAACCAAATAGCCCAATACAGCCCTGATAGGGTTACTGACCTCTAGGTGGGGCCTAGAGATCCCCTGGAATTACAACTGGTCTCCAGACTACAGAGATACTCTGGAGCAGGGGTCATTTCCTGCAGGAGCGCACAGGAGCGGAGCTCCGGCAGTAAAGAGCCCAGGGGGCGGGCACATGCAACAAGCCCCACCCCTTGCTCCCAGCAGCCCTCAGTCAGAGCAAGAAGCAGCCAGGCAAGTTGCAGAGCTCCCCCCGTCCCCCTGGTCCAAAACAGTCCAGTGGCACCTTTAAGACCAAGTTTTATTCAGGTACAAGCTCTCCCTCCTCTGCGAGGACAGATCTGCCTGTCCCCCCCCGCCGCCAATAGCTAGCAATCCAAAACAGCCCAGTGGAGCCTGAGCGGTGGGTGTTGCCTTCTGACACACTTCCGGTGAGGTCAGGGGGTATGGCACATGCAAATAAGTTATGCTAATGAGTTATGCTAATGAGCTCCTGCACCTCTTTTTCTACAAAATGACCCCTGCTCTGGAGAAAAGGGCTGCTTTGGAGATTGGACTCTGTGTCATTACAGCCTGCTGAGGTCTCCAGCTCTGGGTTGGGAAATACATGGAGATTTTGGGGGCGGAGCCTGGGAAGGGTGGGGTTTGGAGAGGGGAGGGGCCTCAGCAGGATAGAATGCCACAGAGTCCACCCTCCGAGGCAGCCACTTTCCCCAGGGGAACTGATCTCTGTGGCCTGGAGATTAATTGTAATAGCGGGAGATCTCCAGGTGCCACCTGGAGGTTAGCATCCCTAAGCACACCCTACGGCTTTTAGGTGAAATCCTTTCCCCCTCCCTCTCAAGTGCCGGGAAGCAATCGCATCGCCTGCTCTAATGGTGCTGTTTTGAATCGGTATTTCAATTATACTGCTTTTACATTTTGCTGATGGCCTCGGAGGTTTCAGTCGCTCGCTGGTTTTTAATTCTCCTCTCGCGGCGACGAGTCTTTTCATCTTCTCTGTTGTTCTCTATGTTTAATTTTTAATTTTTTTCTTCCAAATGCCAGCACTTAATGTGATTTTAATTGCCTGGATCTTTGTCTGCCGCTCCCAGGAACGAGGCTTTTCGCTCGTGGATCTAAATATCTAAAACAAACCAAGAAGCAAAGCAACCCCTCCATATTGATATTCATTTCTATGTACGTGAACAGAGTTGCATTAGAGCTGTGACCTGCATGGCTCAGGCTAGCCTGATCTCATCTGATCTTGGCTGCTAAGCAGGGTCGGCCCTGGTTAGCACTCGGATGGGAGACCAGCACAGAAATTCAGGGTCGCTATGCAGAGACAGGGAATAAGAACATTAGAGAAGCCAATGTTGGATCAGGCCAATGGCCCATCTAGTCCAACAACTGAGAGCCAGTTTGGTGCAGTGGTTAAGTGTACGGACTCTAATCTGGGAGAACCGGGTTTGATTCCCCACTCCTCCACTTGCACCTGCTGATGTGACCTTGGGTCAGTCACAAGCTCTGGCACAGCTGTCCTTGAAAAAGAGCAGTTTCTGTCAAGAGCTCTCTCAGCCCCACCCACCTCACAGGGTGTCTGTTGTGGGGAGGGGAAGGGAAAGGAGTTTGTAAGCCGCTCTGAGACTCCTTTGGGTAGTGAAGGGCGGGGTATAAATCCAATCTCTTCTTCTTCTCTTCTTCACTCTGTCATACAGTGGCCAAAAATACCAGGTGCCATCGGGGAGGTCCACCAGAGGGGCCAGAACACTAGATTGCCCCCCCAAGCACCCCAAGAATACAGAGCATCCCTTGCCCCAGACCGAGAGTTCCTATCTATACCTTGTGGCTAATAGCCACTGATGGACCTCTGCTCCAGATGTTTATCCAATTTCCTCTTGAAGCCGTCCATGCTTGTAGCCGCCACCACCTCCTGTGGCAGTGAATTCCAGGTGTTAATCACTCTTTGGGTGACGAAGGACTTCCTTTTATCTGTTCTAACCCAACTGCTCAGCAATTTCATTGAGTGCCCACGAGTTCTTGTACTGTGACTCTGTCATCTGAACCAAGTTTCTGCTTACCCTCAGAAGCCCTCCCACTGTCCCCCCCCCCTTCCTCTCTTGCCTTGAAAACTTTTCAGGGTCGCCCTAATTTGACACCACCAAGGGAAAATTCCGCCACAAAACCACCTTTAGCCAAATCTTGATCGGGGCTGCTAACTTTGGAACCTCTCTCGTGCCTCCTTAACAGCAGGTTTCCTTCCAGCAACGAGCGGTTGATCGACACCTGCCGATTCCTGCCCATCAAGCCCGTACAAAAGACACAGGAGCAATTTAGGCGGCTTTTCCTCAATCAGCTGGCAACCGGAACCCCGACCTGGTCCGTCAGCCAGCTCTTCAGCATTACAATCTGGATGGGTCTCATAGGACCGGAGACGCCAACTTCAATTGTTAAATCGTGGGTTCCATGGATGAGGAGGCTCGAGTCTAGCGATCAGCTCAACCAGGGCTCTTTTTGTAGAAAAAGCCCAGCAGGAACTCATTAGCATAATAGGCCACACCCAACACCAGAAAATCATTAGCATATTAGGCCACACCCCTGGCAGCACAGCACATTAACATATTAGGCTACACCCCCATGTTACCAGAAGTGTGGCTATCCAGCCACATCCACCTTTTGCTTCTTATTCTGTTTACCTTGTTTGTTGTCAAAACCCAGGGCCTTTTTTTTGTAGCAGGGACTCCTTTGCATGTTAGCCCACACACCCCTAATGTAGCCAATCCTAATGTGTTCCTGCTGTTGGGTGTGGCCTATTATGCTAATGAGTTCCTGCTGGGCGTGGCCAACTTGGGAGCCAGCCGGAACTCCGTTCCTGTGTGTTCCTGCCCAAAAATAGCTCTGAGCTCAACTTTATTTGTGATTCCAGCAAGAGCCAGACGAGACCCCAGAGCCGCAGCTCTGTTAAATAGCAGGCAATTGCCACACCCAAACACACCCCACTCCCAGTGAATAGGCTATTTACATAACATTACTACTAGATTGGTTACTTTCAGAATCCTGACAGGCTATTGTTCTAGTGCTCTAAGCTCAGCCAGTCTCTGGTGTGACATACCTGGAATGGTTCAGTCCCAATACATAACCTCAAGAGAACAGGAGGACAAAATGCAAGACACTGAGCTATCTGGTTACGGACAGTCTGGCATGTACGGACATGTCCCCTGCCTGAGGTCCCGTCTGTTACGTGATCACCTGCTGTGAGCAGAGCTTGTCCAGGGTTTGCTCAGCCGGAGGGCCTGAGCAGCCGAGCTTAACTCCGAGATGCAATAACAAGGTCTCCAAGGATTAACGCTGCTAAGCCGATCAGGCGTTGCCTTTTCCAGCACCGGGACCCTCTCGTTATTCTTGTTCTCGTGGTTATTATTTTGAGCACCAAACCAATCCAGACAGACATTACAACTCGGGACCCGATCCTGCGAAGGCAGGCCAAATGCACGTCCCAGAAGCCGGTGACAAACTGGCTTCAGGCGAATTGATGCCAGCGGGGAGCTGCTAGGCAAAGCATCGGGTGCGCATCGTAGCAACACCAGGGATTCGGGTGGTTGTTTTCTCTATTTAGGATGGTTCCCCATAGATCTCATTCCCAATCACTTGTCGCCGCATCTTTCCAAATGCATCTGGTTGGTGCTTGTTTTTAATATTTTTTAGGCCCCGGGTGATGAACATTTTAATTTACTCCTGCTTCCAATGGGACTTTTTCTTATATAACTGCTGATTCTGTGGGGGTCTTTTTGTTTCAGCTGCTTTTCAGTGAGATTTAAGCATGTCAGATTGTGGCTTTGCATCGAGCGTGTGTGTGTGTTACGTTTGACTGACTGCAAGACCTCTTGGATATCATTCAACAGAAAAGCCGGATAGATGCCTTTTAAATAAGCTATGGGACTCAAAAAAGGGTCAATACATTTGTACTCATTTGGGTAAGCTAAGGAGATCTCAGCACCCTTTTCATTGGCCAAAAGGGAGGGGCTGTGGTTCAGTAGGAGAGTCTCTGCCTGGCATACGGAAGGTCCCAGGTTCAATCCCTGGCATCTCCAAGTTGAAAGGCCCAGGCAGTAGGTGACGTGAAAGACCTCTGCCTGAGACCCTGGAGAGCCGCTGCCAGTCTGAGTAGACAATACTGACCTTGATGAACCAAGGCTCTGATTCAGTATATAGCAGCTTCATATGTTTGTTGGAGAGTGGCTGTGTCTCAGTGGAAGAGCCTCTGCTTGGTATGCAGAAGGTCCCAGGTTCAATCCCCGGCATCTCCTGTTGAAAGGAACAGGCAGTAGGTGATGTGAAAGACCTTTAGCAGAGACCCTGGAGAGTCACTGCCAGTCTGAGTAGACAGTACTGACCTTGACAGACCAATGTCCTGTATCAGTATAAGACAACTTCATATATGTTCATTATTAGGGGAGGGTCATTGGCTCAGTGGCAGAGCCTCTGCTTGGCCTGCTGAAGGTCTCAGGTTCAAGCCCCAGCACCTCCAGTTAAAGAGGACCATGCAGGAGGTGAACGAGCTCCCAGAGGAGATCAGGGCCCTGCGGGACCTTACGCAGTTCCGCAGGGCCT